ATTTAGCTACTGCTCTATAGAAAAAAATGTGGATTTCCAGCAGTTACTTAATTTTCCTTATGGGAGCCATAAGATGGGGATGCAGTTAGGAAAATGATCTGGCTAAACAGCAGTTTTTTTGTAGCAACTTTCATATCTCAATAATTTGCATTTCAATATAGTTTTAAAATATTTCATCCAACTTTCCAAGTATTGTTTCTTTCTGTTATTCCTAACTGTGCTTGGTTTTGTAATGGTTTATCTGCCTATCCTACTTAGGTATTTTAGGGGAAGAGAAAGTTTGTGCACATTTGTTTCCCACATTTTGCATTTTCTTATTATTTGGAATAAAGCATTCTTAAAGATTCTACATACGAAATCTCAGGCAAGCCTACGGTTAAGCGCCATCCAGAACCCGGACCTTAAGGAAGTCAGATTCTGAATGGCTCAGAAGTGTGATCAATTCAGGTATTGATTTTCTGCACTTAGCATCCTCCGATGCGCCCATTAGATTAAACTGTTTTTCAAGGTACTAGGGAACTGCCTGTCTGCGGTTCTGCTATTTGAGGAGGATTACTACTGCTAAATCAGTCGTGAACTTTTGTTTGTTCTTTAATGAAAAACACTGCCTCTGTCTCCAAAAGTTTTGGAGATAATCTGGATGTCTCTTGGAGGTCCCTCTCACAGGATACGTTGGTTAAAATTGATATAAAATGTCTGAGTACTGATTTATCAGAATCATAAGAGTCTGAAAGCCATTTTGGCATAAAGCCACTGACTTTACCTCCCAGGCTGAGCAAGGCCCCATCCTTGCTGCCCTTATTCAGAAATGCCCAACTGCTTGTAGCAGCCCAACACACGCTATCTCAAGCGTCATCTCATCTGGAGAATTGGTGCAGTTTAGAGAACAAAATGATGCGGTTATCACATATACCCACAGCTGGCAAAATGCTGACTTCCAGTGGCGCTGACTTTACAGCACCACAACAAATTAATATATTTATGTTGATAATAAAGAGCTGAACCTACGTTTAAGACTAGGTATTACTTTGCATTTTCATATGCTACTGCAGTTTCTGATCCTCGTGGGAAATGATGCTGGAAGTCCCAGAAGTCTCCTTGAAATAAAATGTAAGATGAGCAAGATGTAAGAAGTTTTCTCTCTGGAATGAGTGCTCTCCTTTTTTATTCAGAGTTGGCTTCTGCTTTATCATCTGTGTAAATTGTCTGAGATAATGTAATGGGTGAGGATGCCAAAGAAATGCAGTAACATTAATGCGTTGAGTTTAGTCCTGAGCCACTGAATTTTATAACAACAAGATTAGCTACTGTGATTCCAAATGTGCAGAGAAGTACCAATAGAGGGAAACCAGCACAGTCTATGGATGTATGAGCAACTCCCAACACACTCAGAGATGCCTCTACAGAGTTCAAAGTGCTTCCTCTAATGCCCATGTTATAAGCAATTGCCTGTGTCAGGAGAGTAGTAGAGGACAGTGATGTACACAGATGTATGGCCTTGAATCAAGAAAGCACTTAAGCGTGTGAATAAGTCCACTTGTAATCAGGTAAGCATTTAAGTCCATACTTAATGTGCCCCAGCACACTGCAATGTATAAATACACAATTGCTACTTAGCACAAAAGCAATATAAATATATATATATATAGGTTCATGCACATGGAAAAAATATAAGGATGAAAACCCACCATATTCTGGGACCTGGCCTGTTCCACGTTTCAACAACAGTCGCACTCTCCTGCCACCAGACTTGATTAGCTCTATTGCTCTGGCATGTGTCATGTCCCTTGTGCTTTCTCCATTGATTTCAATTATTTGATCTCCTACCTGTCAGGTAAGAAGAATATTGAGTCAGATAGAATTGCAGTAAAATGATTGTTTCACAAAGAGACATAGTCAATGGATCACAGGTGACTTGAATGACAGACAGACACATCAAGGTAAATTTGCTCCTGTCTGTCTGAGGGATATTACTGGCAGATTAACTAACCTCCAAAATGGATTCTAAGCATGGTACATCAAATGCTGCTCTTCTGCAAAATCAGTGTAATGCATTTGTAACTTGTCTCATGCCTTTGGAATTGCTTGATATATTGGAATCACTGGAAACCCATTACAGGCCTGGAAAGACTGTTGCTGCATTGCATTTACTGTTTTCATATGACAGAAGTTCATAGTATAACTACCCATCTTCATCATTTCAGTATCCGAATCTTGTTAGCAACCAACTTAAGAACTATTATGAGGAAAAGTTTTAACCAAAGAGAGTTTAGTAGCTATGACAGTCACTGCACAAATTGAACAGATTTGTTAACAGTTCTTAGAAGAGCATGTTTTGAGCTACGTATCCATTCATGTTCCTTGCTCCAAGCATGCACAGCCCAAGGCTGAGGCACCCAGGCAGAAGAATGATCTCCAGAGCTCTCATTAGAGGCTGTTGACACTGGTCTCCCAGTTGGCTGCCCAGTCAGAGCTGAAGTCATTATTACTTTTCTACCTCTATTTCTATAGCTGTAAACTAGGGCATTGACGTCTGTATGTGCCTTCCAGTCTCATCTCCCTCCCAGCTTTGCCTCCCACTGTGCTGGTTCAGTTCAGCTCATCTATTGCCTTTCTCTTAGTGACACAGTAGCTGTAGCTGGCTGTAGATATTGGAAACCTTCTCAATGAAGAGGGCAGTCATTACTTTTCACTGGAACGTGGCAGAGGGAACACGTAGGAAGCAACAGCCGCACAACTTGTTTGATGCTGGCATACCACTACCACCCCCTTGTTTGGCAAAACAGCTAACTGTAACACAGTGAAGTGACATGTGAGCACTGAATTAGCAGCACAAGTGCCTGCAGAGCTAAGGATCTGCAGCAGCACTGGAGAAGCCTCCAAGGCAGGTGCATCAGGGGATAACCCCAGTGGGACCCCAGACCCAAGGCTGATTTCCCAATGACTTGTGAGGGGGCACAAGGAGCCTATCGAGGAGCACGAGGAGCCCATCAGAGCAGGCTTGGGGAGCATGTTTGTCCATGTCAGAAAAGCACATCTGCTTTGCAGGATCACACCAAGCTTGGCCTGCATCTACAGGGCTATCTCACCTTGAGAAGAACTGTGCATAACTCATACCTTAACATAATGCTACTGCATTCATCACGGAAGGGCTTTTAAACAGACCATAAAGATTTCATCATGATGGGCACTTCCTTTACACCCTGCAAGCCTGACCTGACAAAACTAGCTCCTTGCTAGTCCTGAACATTGACATGTTTTCTGTTTGCTTTGTAACTATTGTACTTCTGTCAACTAGAAGTGTAATCCTTCAGAGGGTTTTCCTTCCTTTCTGAGTCAGAAATATAGTGTTTACCAAATGAATGTACATAATATGAAGTGTCAACAAGACTCATAGCATCAAAGAAAACTGGAAGTGATGTCAAGAAGTCATCTAGTCCTGCTCTTACACAGAGACAGCAAGAATGCTACTAAAAGCAGTGCAGGCAGTGTTTTTCAATAGGAATTCATACCTCGTCAATAGGAGTTGCAGGCTATTTTCTGAATTCTCCCAGGATACTAAAAGCAATCTATTCCAGGACTTTACTTAACTAAAAAGCCATTGATCTGAATAAAGCCTCTCAGCCCAGCTATCATGCTTTATAAATGCTGCACACTGAACAGTGGAGAAAAAAAAAAGAAGTGATTATTTTGAGGAGAAAAGCCATACTTCTGCAGTGCGGATTTCTTTCTGTGAGGATTTTCTCTGCTAAGAGAAATGCATTTGGTTATCCTGTGCTGTGCAGGACACACTTTTAAACACAAATATGCACTTTTAGGCACTAATAATGACCTCCAGGCCACACTGGAAGGCTGCTCAGATGCTCTTTGGTAAAGTAAGCCTCTCCCTGGACTTGGCTGGATGGGGTTATTTGCAATATCCTGACGGCCCAGCCTCTGGAGACATTGGCAGGACGTGATCTCTGCAAACACCAGGGGCCAAACGAGAAACTCTCTCTACCACTTCTGCCACACAAAGACAGAAGATGGATTTATAGCGCCTTCCCCACAAGACTGCTACTAAGACAAAATACAGAACAGATTCAACACACATGAAAAAATCTGCTTCTAAATGTCATGAAGCAATTAAATCCTAGTTGAAGAGTTTAATTGTAATTTTCCAGGTCCAAAGTCTTAAAACATTCCTCCTTTTCTCTGCCATGTTGTCTGGATATACCATGTTTTGCAGAAGGTATGTAAAATAATCTTGTTAGCATGTTTTGAGAGAAGATGGGCCAGAGTAAATCAAATGAAGGAGGTGTTTTAACACTCCTTGATAAATAGCCTTTAAAATGAGTCCTGAAATGAACTCCTAAAATGAAAGCTGTTCAGAGCACACACAGTCCTCCAACTAATATCGCCTGCACTTCTGAGCAGAAAGATAGAGATTTTAATACAGTTTAATATGTAAAAAGGTTAAGTTAATGTCACAGCTTTCCTTCGTTGTCTGCTTGCCTTCTGTTCTTATTGGTCATTATACAGGAACTATCTTGTATTGAAATAACCTTTTCTGTATCTCAGCGGATTATTTTTTTTCCTCTATAGGCATCATGTAGCTGTTGATAGTTTCTAATATAAAATCTTATTCACAAATAACCTTGGAAAATTAAAAAAAAAAAAGCCAACTGTCTTGACTATGCGAGTTAACTGATTTCTATGTATTTGTGTCTTGCTGACATGTTTAACTGAATTAGATGGCATTTGCAGCTCAGTTCTGATTAGATTAAAAAAAAAAGAAGAACAGTGTGGAAGATAAATGTTATAAGCACTCTTACCTTGGCATCAATTAGGATTTGCACTCTTATATCTGGGGAATCCATACAAAAGTGAAAGTTTGCCCAAGGAGCGCTTTCCCATGTGTCTAACACAGTATGACCCTCTATTTTTGCTTTCTCTGTGGGTAAGCATTTCTGATCTCCCTTTCCTCTCACCAAGCGGATTCTCTGATGTTAATATGGGATGAAATCAGGCTATGTACCTTCCCTAGGTCCAGGCATTAAAGCTCTCTCTCTCTCACGTGCTCTCTCTCTGTCTCTTTTCTCACCTATTTTTAGAAAGTAATAGGCCTGACACAAATCAACACTTTGAGACCCTTGACCTTCCTTCATATTTATTTGAAAGACAGATCTCTCACACACCTCTGTGCACACCACAAGTGTAGGTCATTCACCGGGGAGGGAGGGAGACATGAGGTTTTGCTGCCGGAGTATTTCTGTCTTTTTTGACTCCTGTGGCTGTTTAAGAATGAGGGTCTGGGTATGCCTACATGCACCTGGTGAGGCCACGATTAAGGACAAGGTAAGTACAGAAACAGGCCTTGAAAGAACTCAATTCCTCCCAGCAAGGTAGGAGCAATTATGTATGGATCATCGGTAAAAAAACGTTGTTCAACGTACATTGAAAGGGATTCCTTAGCCTCCTCAGCTTTGTTTAATTTCGTAGCCGCACTCTATTCTTTTCTGCTGCAAATTGTGATGGAATCACAGAATGGTTGAGGTCGGCAGGGACCTCCTGAGGACCTCCATTCCAGCAAGCAGGGTGACCTACAGCTCAGAGCTGTGTCCCGTTGGCTTTTGAGTACCTGTGCCCTAATCTAGGACAGTGTCCTTCACTGGATAGCTACTGTCATGGTGATTGCTTTGATATTTCGTTAATTTTGAAATCTAAGCCAGTTTCTCCAAGTCAGTTTGGACATTCTGTGAATAGTAGCACCTTGCTGTTAACCATTTTTATTCTGTTACTTATCAACAAGTGTCCAGTTAATAATGAAATTAATGAATTCAGATGCTTTCATCACAGGCACCTCTGAATCACCCTTGTAATTTCACACTTGTAATTCCAGTTCAACACCAAGTCACTCAGAGCACTTTTTGAGAGTGGTTATTTTCAGTAACTGCTTTAGTATACCTATCTTTCTGTGAATTTAACACAAGACAGTCTTGAAAGTTAAAAAAGAAAGTGGCTTCTTTTCTCTATTTCTACCAGGAAATAAAAAATAGAAATAAAAAATGAAAATTAGACTGATATGACGAGTTTTATTTTTCCATAATCTCTGTGTTGGTGGGTTCTTTTGATAACAGATCACTGATTATTTTTGAGGATAAAAGTTAAATGAATTTTTCTATTTTATTCTGTTTTGAAAAGAGAGGATATGTTTTCCTTTCTGTAGTTTGCTACCAACTTTCTTGTATGCCAACATTTCTTGGAGATAATGACTAGTAGTCTAAAAATTACTTTTACCAGGTCGCTGAGCATACATGAACATCAGCAGGTCCAGCTGACTGGAATCTAAATATTTTTGAATAAGCTTTATTTTGAGATATGCTCATTTCTTTTGGTTGAACTAATATAGTAACTATATAATTTTTTCTGAACTTTCTTTTATGAAAGTTTATACAATGAAAACACTCCCTGTAAAGTGATGGACCTACACTTTTCTTTTCTCTGTAATTTAATGTATTTATGTTACCTTTTTTGTTGCCTTTCTATTTCCCTTGCACACCGCTCAGATATTGTCTGGATGCATTTAATCCATTATTTTTGAGGTATTTGAGCAAGCTTACGTGGAGATACAAAGCTTTTTGCATGGAACACCAGACTATTCAAAAAGAAAAACTTTAATGCAGCAATATGGCCATTTTGCATGGCATTTAGTTTCTCTGTCATTTTACACTTCATAGATTTCATTTTTGTCAATAAATTAATATTAAAAAAAATAATTCCCAAAGCCTGGGGAATTAGCCATGCCTAAAATGACACCTCCAGCCCCGTGCTGTGCAGGTGCAGTT